ATGTCCTCTCTTTATTAATTTCTTTTCTAACATAAACAATCCCAACCTTTCCAATTTCTCTTCATATGAGAGCTTTTCTGTGCTCCAAAGCATTTCCTTCTCTGAATCCTCACTAATTCTGCAATATCCTTTTTGAGATAGGGTGATTATCAGATGAAGCTGTACTATTGACTTATAGAAAGCAATTACAATTATAATATTCTCCTATTATTTACCATTCCTAACTCCCTAATATCTTGTTTTCTTGTTTTCTTTTTTGATCAGAGCTGCATATTGAATTGAGCTCTTCTTTGAGCTATCCACAGAGATGCCCAGTTTTCTTTCCTGAGATGATACCATTAATTTAGAACCCTTTAAGGTGTATGAATAGTTTAACATTTTCACTCTAATATCATTACTTTTCAGTTACGAACACTGAACTTCATTTACCATTGTGTTGCCCATTCACCTACCTTGGTTAGATCCCTCTGAAGTTCTTCACGGTCCTCTCTGGACTTCACTTCTCTTGGAGACAGGAGGCTTAGGTGCCTAAGCCATTCTTGCATGAAATGCAGGAGGAAGTGGTGACTCCTCCCTTATAACTTTGAGCTCAGTGATTAAAGAAATCACCCAAGATATGGGGAAACCTGGGTTCAGTTCCCACCCCGTGTCTGATGAGAAGAATGGATTTGAACTTTTACTCTCAGGAGATTGCCCTGATCACTGAGCTATGGGATATTCTGATGTCAGTCTCCCTCAGTCTTGTCAAAGCTGTTCCACTTTGAACAAATAATTAAATAACTATTAGAGCAAGGGGACTGGATCCAATGTCTCCCACCTCTCAGGTGAGTGCCTTAACCAGCAGGCTCTCGCTCTCTCTTCTTTTTTTTTTTTTTGGTCCTGTGACTATTTAAATAGTTAAAGTGGAACAGCTTCAATAGGAGAGTCTGAGAAACATCAGACTATCCCGGAGTTCAGTGAGGGCACTCTTCTGAGAGGTGAGATGACCCCCTGTTTCTCCCCATCAGGCAGAGGGAAAATCGTTTCTCCCCATCAGGCAGAGGGAAAAATTGAAGCTGGGTGTCCCACATCCTATGTGAGTGCTTTAACCACTGGACTACAAGTCAAAAGAGAGGGCGGAACCTCCTTCACCTCTGGCTGGATTTTGAATGGGCCCTGACCTACTGGGCATGCTCTGAGCAGGCCTACCACATTGGGTCTTGCTGGCAAGATAGGCAGGGGAATACCTATGGTACCCCTGGTTTGAGGATCACACTGGGGCTTAGATGTGAGAGAGGCATCCTGATGCCTAGAGTGAGGTACTGTGCATGTGCCCAGAGATGACAAATTTAAGTGTTATGGGGACTTCTACAGCAAAATTTAGGCATCTAGTGAGAGGTTTTGTGGATAACAGCGGTGCCTAAATCTGGGATTTAGGTGCCTAAGTCCCTTCATGGACCTTGACCCTTCTCAAAAGCCTTTTGAAATTCACTACATTCTTGATAGATTCAACTAATTCTAATAGATTAGCAAACTATGATTTTCCTTTGAAGAAATCATTCTGGATATCATTATCTTCCAGATCTTTTAAATGCTATTTTAATTGTTGTTTCAACTAATAGACTAGGCTAGATGTAAAGTTTGCTGTTCTGTAATCATTTAGATCATCTCTAGTGCCTTTTTAAAAACATAGATATATTTGCTACCCTCCGGTCCTCTGATAAGGTGGCTGTTTTTAATGAGAGATTGCATATTTTTGCTAACAGCCACTTCATATTCGAGCTCTTTCAGGACTCTTGGGTTCATACTATCTGGACCTGGTGACTTATTTTTTAAATTATGAATTAGTTCCACCACTAGTTCTTCTGACACCTTAATCTATGAGAATACTGCATCTCTCTTACCATAAAAAGGCGAGTTGAAGGTAGGTCTCTCCCCATTACATGGTCGTCCCAGGTCAGCTGACTCGGGCTCACAGAGCTCGGGCTACGGGGCTATAAATTGCAGCATAGATGTTCAGGCTTGGGCTGGAGACCCACGGGTCTCAAAGCCCAGGTTCCAGTCTGACCCTGAATGTCTACGCAGCAATTTTATAGCCCATAGTCCAAGCCCCTCGAGCCCAAGTCAGCTGACCCAGGCTCTGAGACTCAGCGCTGCAGGTTTTTTTAATCACGGTGTGGACATACCCATTGATTTACTTCTTGCTTTCCTGGTTCTGTTTTTGTTCCGCAATACACATGCCTTATGAGATTATTATGGTTTTCTTAAGTAGCATCCCTGCCACTTGTAAGGATTTTATTTCCTTGATTTTTGTCTTTAGGACCCTTTTGAATACCTTCTCTTTTACGTATCTCAAATGTGCCGCTTGGAGCTGTTGAATCATAGAAGATTAGGGTTGGAAGAGACCTCAGGAGGTCATCTAGTCCAACCCCCTGCTCAACTCAGAACCAACTCCAACTAAATCATCCCAGCCAGGGCTTTGTCAAGCCGGGCCTTAAAAACTTCTAAGGATGGAGATTCCACCACCTCCCTCGGTAACCCATTCCAGTGCTTCACCACCCTCCTAGTGAAATAGTGTTTCCTAATATCCAACCTAGACCTCCCCCACTGCAAGTTGAGACCATTGCTCCTTGTTCAGTCATCTACCACCAGGTGGATCTTTGCAGTTTGCCATTGTCTAGTTCAGTGGTTCTCAAACATATTTGATGGTGCCCCCTTCTTTGTGTCGTAGTAGTTTAGGCCTCACCACCACCATACAAGTACATATACTGATAAAAAAAAATCATCATGCAGCACTCACTAAATATTAAAAACAGTAAGGCATTGATTCAAACCAAGCCAATGGTCCGTTTCAATAAGAGCAAAAGCAAAACTGCAAGTGTGGTAGATGCTTACAACTAAATGTGCACACAGCATCCTGGAAAACGGATTAATGTATACATGGCAATGACTTTGTACAATGCTATGAAATCCATCAAAATGCACAGTGCCATCTGAGGACTGGATATGTCTGGAGGAATGAGCTTTGCTAGTTATTCGTTGCTGTGGGTAAAATGTGCACAGTATGTTGTTGTTGTTTTTTCATTAAAGCTGCTCACGCCCCCCTCAGAATATATTGTATGCCCCTCCCCCAGGGCAGCCCACCCCCAGTGGAAGAACCTCTGGTCTAGTTTAAGACTGCACACAGACAGATCTTTTATTTGTCCTTAAATGTCATCCATTAGATTTGTGCAGTTACATAAAGGCAATTTGTGCCAGCAAAAGCCTTAATGGGTCCTGGGTGTTAGATATATTACAGCAGTCCCTCTGAAACTCTAATGAATGTCATTAAAGAAATCAAGGTATGGTTAAGTGGTACAATAGAATGAGTAAATAGGGGCAACGAGGTCATGTCTGGAGCCTGGAAGGGATTGGAATAACAAAATCATTTTAAGGCCAGGGCAGATAAAGACATATTCTGGATACTTTTAGAAACCCCTACATTAGTTTACATATAATCAGCTTTTGTGTGTGTATATACCCATACAAACACAAACACAGAGTGGATAAGGCTAAAGAACTTATCAAACTGAGCAAATTTATTGTGAACTTCCACGCAGCTTATAAAAATAGAACAAAAGTCTCCAGCTTCTGAAAATGGTGCTAGGGAGCATTCCCAATCTATTCTTAACCTACTCTCTCAGGTCAGTGGTGCAATTAGATTTTAATTCTTACCGTACCGATCCTCCCGTCCCCCACTCACAAAAAATATTCTGTGACAAGAGCCCTGTACAGATAAAAATTTATACCCACAGGTGGGGATATCCATGGAGATGAATCTGTATCCGCTGAACCACAGGGCTCTCCCAGGAACCACAACGGCAAAAGGAGCAGAACAAGGGGCTGCCGCTCTCAGGAGCCAGTGCCCTGCACCGGCAGCTCCTCCAATGCAACTGTACCATCCCCAGCCCTTCCACGCAGCTGTACAGCCCCGCCGGAGGACAGGGCTAGGGGTGGTACCGCCACGTTGGAGAAGCTGCCAGCACAGGGCGCTGGCTCTTGGGAGCAGCAGCCCCATGTTCTGCTCCTTTCATCGCTGTGGTTCCCGGGAGAGCCCTGCAGTTCAGCAGATACCGATTTCTTTGTGGATATCCACATCCGCAGGTATAAATTTGTATCCGTGCAGGGCTCTACAATTCATTCTTGAAAATGTGTCTTTCCAGTACGGCGTACCAGCAATAAATGTCTTAATAATAATATATGGAGATATACCTATCTTATAGAACTGGAAGGGACTCCAGCTCATTGAGTCCAGCCCCCTGCCTTCACTAGCAGGACCAAGTACTGATTTTTCGCTCCAGATCCCTAAGTAGCCCCCTCAAGGATTGAACTCATAAACCTGGGTTTAGCAGGCCAATGCTCAAACCACTGAGCTATCCCTCCCCCCATAATGGTATGGTGTACCTGACTGTACCGGCTTACTTGCACCACTGTCTATGCTGAGTGTATATCTTGATGCATACCAACAGAGACAGCTGCTTTCTGGTGTTTAACATGCCAGCTCCAAGTAATGCCTGGGCCTGGTGCCTAGGGCTATATTCATTGAGCTCTTTTTCTGACCTTTCTGATTTCCGTCTGCGAGTCCCCAGCAATGTGTAAAATAGAGGGACATTACTTCAGGCTATTACCAGGCTTTTATCTGATTCATTTTGCATTTGTTGGAGTGGCTAAATACACTCCCTTTTGCCCCCCAAAAGAAAGCTGTCATCACTTGAGAGCACGCTCTTGTACCTTGCAATGTTCTCTTTTTTCCTTCAATCTCATTTCCCACTTTCCCTTTGGCCTCACATTTTTCTTTCTGTCTTAAAGCATAAAAGCAATTCTGTATCTCTTAGTCTTACTTTGTCTTTTAAGAAAGTAAACAAAACAATGACTTGGCAGCTGTCTTCCTATGTGTTGTCCTTTGCTTGCCTGCAGCTCTCGTTCAGCTTGGAAATGTGGAATCATGTCTCCTCTGTCTCTTTTCTTCACCACCAATTAAGGTCTCTCCAGGATCTCTCCAGGCAGACGGATATTCCTTATGGCACTGTCTTGGACTCTGCAGTCTATGAGCATGTTCGAGTGAAGGGGATGAATCCTTTTGAGAGGGACAGCATGTATTCTCAAATGTGGCGGATGATTAACAGAAGTAACGGCTCAGAGAATAATGTGCTGGAGTCACCAGCAGGCATTCAGAAGGTATGAGGCATGGTTTACCTTTTCCTTGACAATCGGAGATGCTCTGTTCCAGTGCTGGATTTTTTTAAATTGTTTTTTAACATTTGGAGCTGCATTTGCACATAGGACAATGATCTTACCTAATCAATTTATAGCGCATTGCTCCAGCTCAAAGGATTCGGGGCTCTCAGCTCAGTTCCCTATGGGCAGTTTTCCATTACATTTTAAAATGCAAGTCCAAAAAATATTTGCTCTGAAAACGATTGAGGATTTAGCGATCTGAAAGAAGAATACATTTGTCAGAATCCAAAATGAGGGTAGGATCACGGGACTTTAATAACAGAAGACATCGCAGTGTACTGTACAAAGTGCTTACTGTAGGTTTGAATGCAAAATAGAGATTTGTTTTTAGACTTCTGACTCTGAAAACTTAATCTTTCAGTCATGGTTATGAATCCTATGTGTTATGCGGAAAGCAGGCAGAAAAGCATGACCTTGTTTAAAAAACTTCACAGCAATCTCTTAAACTTGATTTGCTATGGGAAAACAAAATTATGTAAAAACTTTTTTTGTCAAGTGAATTCTTAGAAAAGTCAAGTAAACAGGAGAGATTTTGAATTTAAGATCACCTATCCATTAAATAGCACAGAATGAGATTGTGAATATTTTTCATCAGTGACTTCAATGGCAATCGCATCTGTGTGAATGAGAACAGAACAAAATTCATCCCTATGATAACATCTCCAAATTGAAAATTGAAAATTTATTCTATAAAATAGGTCCCTGAGAAAACAGCATATTTTGTTATTTTAGCAGGGCCTTATTTTATAGGGTTCATTTAAATTTGAAGATGGGGAGAATTAATTATAATAGAAAACTGAACTGTTGCGTGTTTCCTCATCAAAGGTTCAGTTATTCAATCTTTTTTAGATCTATCAAAATCCAATCAAGCCATTTCAGAGCTGTTGCCTTTTGTTTCTACTGAAATTCACTTCCTAGGATATCCCATATATCCATGGTGTTGTGACAGTTAATGAGAGCACATAAAGGAAAGGGTCTTTTTAAAAAGCAATGATGAAGCCATTTTCTACTGGTGATCTCTTGATGATGATAATAAAAGAGCTACAAGATAACAACTGTTTAGGAGTTTGATAAACAAGTGGCTTCACCCACCGCCATTATAGCTTGGATCATATTTCCCAACTCAAAGATTTACCAGACACTAAATGTCATGAAAGAGGGGAAGATGGGAAGGGCCAGGAGAAATGCACTTATGAAATCCTTCTAGAACGTGTCATAAGCTGAAATACGTTTGATGTATATATTTCTAAAGTGCCAGAGAAAGGGACAGCTGAAGATTGATTGGCCAAGGGAAAAGGCATTTTTGAGAAAATATATTTTGGTCCAGTTTGCAAGATGCTTATAAAGCTGGGAAGCTCCTTTAAAAAAAAATCCATCACTGTGACTTGTCTGCCAAAGTTATACCATGAGTTTCAGGACAATAAAAAAACCAGAGCACATCAAACATAAGTGGGTGTTGACTAAAGCCCTTTAGCTGAGGAAAACAACCAGTGTATTACACTGGCAGGTAATTACAGATTACAGTCTTTGATTTCTAATTCCTGAAGACATGGTATTTGCTGTTTTTAAATTGACAGAAACAGCATTGTCTGAGTTGTTTAATTTCCCATAGCTTTGCTGTCCAGGAATAAGCAATTGCAAGTGATGGTATCAAAGAGCTAAGCTTTAGCAAAGCAGCGATCAGCCAACCTCTCTCTCTCCAAATAGCTGCAAGATCATTCCTAATGAATGTACGCTTCCATCCATTCCTGCATACGCATGCACATGCTCGCTCTCCCCACCCCATACACCTCACAGGAAGAAATGCCAGAGAGAGAAAGAGAGAGAGAGAGAGACCCTTGCTGCTCGGACAGGTGACAAATAAATAGAAGGCTCTTTGAAGACTGAATTTGGCCTGGCCAGGAAGAAATATCTCTCTCTAAGGAATTGGAAGCTGTCTTTAAGATCTGTTTGAATCTTTCATCCTCACTTGGATGATAAATATGGTGTTATGTACCAACTCTGTGTACAGAAGAAAATTAAGACCAAAAAAATGTAACTGATAAGGCAGATTTTAATCTCTGTAAAATAACTCTAAAATGAAAGCATGCAGGTATTTCAGAGGACTTCATGGGTCCATTTGGCCCATTTACATTATTTTCATTAACTCATTCCCGACCTTGAGGAACAACTGGCCACCTCAGAGCTATTAACACAATAAGATTATAACCTCAAACAAACCAAACTAATTTTGGGTCTCATTTTGTGCTTCATTTTAATCACGCCATTGAGTGGTGCTAAAGCATGACTTGACAAGAAAAGAAATACATAAGCCAATACAAACAGCTTGCCAAGCAAATGTTGTTGAACAACTACTAAAAATTGAGTTTCCACTAGGCCACCTAGTGTCCATGAAGAGACTCAGATGCTGTGACTTAAGGATGTGTGTGTGTTGCAAATGAATATGTCAAACATCCTTTGCTTTAACTATACTCCCCTGCTGCATCCTCTCAAAGGTAAATTAGATGTGCAGGCAGCCATTGCAAAGTGAAACTAGTTGGACAGCAGGACTACAGAGGCTATTTAAAAGGACACTCTCAAAAGATTTTTCATACAGTTTAAAATCCTTTTAATTTTTCTCTCTTTTTCACTCTGTTAATTATTGTTCATTTATTTCATTTATACTGAGAAAGCAACTTTTATTTTGAAAAACATGATACAGCGGAGACAAATTCAGTGCTGACTGACATCTCATGCAGTCCTATTGACTTCAGTGGGATTGCATGGGTTGTACATCAGTGATTTCAGTGGAAATTGTACCTGTACCTTCCCATATCCTGTGGCCCAGAGAAGGGGGGAAAATTGCCGAGAGGAGCGAGTCAGACTCCAGCTGGTAGAAACAGAAACATCCAAAGCAGGGACCACTGGACATTGAGGGTGTGTCTACACTGGAATTAAACACCTGTAGCTGGCCTTGCAGGGCTTGGGCTACAGGGCTGTTCAACTGTGGTATAAATGTTCGGGCTCACGCTGGAGCCTGGACTCTGGAACCCTTCCTCCTTTTAGAGTCCCAGACCTTGGGCTCCAGTCTGAGCTCTAACATCTATACCGCAATTAAACAGGCCTTTAGCCTGAGCCCCATGAGCCCAAGTCTGCTGACACGTGGGTGTTTAGACGCAGTGGGTGTTTAGACGCAGTGTAGACATATCCTGAGATAATGTTGTACTGTTTTGACTGGACTTTCTGTGCCCTGTGCTGATGGGCTATTTGTTCCAGCCCTCTCCCCCTCCCTCACAGTCTCTTCACCTGACTTCACTCCACACCTCCCCATTTTACCATCTTCTCCCTTGTCCTGTTCCTGTCACTTATCTTCCTTTCCTTTGTCTTTCCATTTCTCCCCCCATCCTCCGAAAAAAAATAATGGAACTAACATGCTGTTTGCTGCCATCACTTGTTCACTCTGCTGCTATGTTCTACCCCTTCCTCCACCCTGTGTCTGTCTTGTCTATTTAGATTGTAAACTCTTCTATTAATCTGTGTTTGTACACAATGAGGACCCATGCTTGGTGGGCCCTTAGGCACTATCATAGTAAACATGATTACTACTACTAATAATAATCTCTGTGTGTGAGAACACAGTTTAAGCCCTATGACAATATTTATTTAGCTCTACTTGGATCAGGAAAGATGCAACTTTGGTATGGCCTTGGTCAGCTGAAATAGAGGCAGGGAAGGAGCCTAAGATGTAAACATGATGCTTCTTGAAATTTCTGTTTTTTGGCATATCCTGGTTCCGTTTTCCCCCATAAATCAGGTTAAGATATAGATATATATATCTATATATATCATTGTGCATGCATTCA